ATAAATCAAACAGAGAAGAGTACAAAAGGTCAAACAGCCACAATCTCAAGTTTTATATATTCTGTGGTTAGTTTATTAGGAACACCTAGCTAAAGTCAGTCTAATCAACAGTCCTGACATAAATGTGAAAAGAAATTGTTAGATGTTATGGTTATATAAAATGTCTTTTCTACCAGCTGTCGCTCTGCCATGATGGAGGAACATCTCTTCTGGAAGTTCGAGGCAGCGATGTTGGCTCTGACTGCTGTCTTTGCCATCCTGGTGGTTGTGCGTCAGCGCTGGCTTGACCGCCTTGCCTCTGACAAAGTCCGCCGCCAGATCGAGTCTATCTAGTCCACCAGAGACACCAGAACTGAGACTGGTTTTTCAGCCTGTGGCAGTACTTTATCAACAGGTGGAGTTTAGACAGATTCAGACTTGGGATGGAGAGGGATCCTTCAGAAGTGAAACCTGCAGGGAACTGGACAAACTTTTTTTTTTTTTTTTTAATTCATAACTTTAACAAACTTTGACACATGACAAGGGACGACACAAAGGCAGGACAGAAACCACTGGGGGTCTGGAGTCTGAGCTGTCATCTCTTTATCAAGAATTAAACATTTTAATTCTCTCAGATGTTGGTCATGATTCAAGAAACAGAAAAAATGTTCTCCACAGTTTGTGAATCCGAAATGTCATTATCTACACCTTCTCCGATTGGCCGTAACAGGTCTGACAGGAAGTTCAGTCAACCAGCAGATGAATATGTGAATTTTTCTTAATTTGTTGGTTAAAAATATTTCATTCAACAGCCGACAGTCAAATGTCTGCGTGTCTTTCAGTTCATTTTATTCTTAGTTTTAGGTATTGACTGTACAATTGTTTGGTCTTAGTTTTCAGGGAGGTGATTTTCTGTGCAGTTTCTGACAAAATAAACTGATTAGAAAACAGAAATTGAGTCTGAACAGTCATCTTGGCCTCTGTTTTCGCTGTTTTACAGTATTGTACACAAGAAATTAATAGTTCGTTTCAATCAGATATATATATATATAAACAAACACACTCCCCTCAGCTCTCCTGACTGTCCTGCCCTTCTGACTGGACTGTCAGACGTGGGTGTGTAAACCATTTGCAGTCCACCTTTTAATGATAAATGTAATACAATTCTATTTTTTATTAGCCAAAACCAATTGGCTTCACCACAGAATTTATAGGGTAGAGTTTTCTTCACCATTAAAAACAGGTCAAGAATGTTAAAAATTTAAAAGGTCTTCTTGGTCCTGATTGGCTGACTGGCCTGTCAGAGGTGGGTCTTCAGGAGTGATGCCATCTGTCAGTCAACAAAAAACTGTCTGCCTCTTGCTGGCTGGGACCCACCGATTAGTTGATTGGCTGGTAGACGGTGGTGGAGTCCGTCCCCCGCTTATGAACACTGACCCAGATTACACCCAGCAACAAGAGGATCATGGGGGTTCCCAGACCAACCGCCATGACAGCGATGACCAACGGAGAGAACAAGTCTACAGGAGGTGAGCCGATGCCTACCAACATGGTCCTGAAGGAGAGAGGAAGGACACGAAAAGGAGATAAATCCACAGTTTGATACTAATCATCAGAATTGTTAAAGTAAACCTGGCTACCGACCAGCCCAGGAACTTGGTGCTGTTATAGAACGGGTCCCCTGCAAGGCCGAAGCTCACGTTGAGTCCAAAGGTTTCTGGTTCCGTGTAAAATGCGTGGATCAGACTAGATGATGCCATGATCATCTCGCCCTTCTGAAGCCGTGGGTTGGTGTGACTGCACGGTGTGGCGTCCTCCAGAGTCGGATTAGACTGACTGTATGCCACTGGCTTCCACTGAACAAAACCCAGAACTTCAGAACTCCCATTCAGGGATGATACCCACTGAGACACCTGTGAGGTTGAAGGTCAAGAGGAAGGAGAGCGATATTAGCAGAGGTCAGAGGCAAAGAACATATCAAAGAGTGATATTTGTGTGTGTGATTTTGTGTTTGTCTTTCTGATTTCTCTAAAAGCATTTTCATCCATTAGTGATGTATTTTTGAGATTATGCACCTACCCATAAAAGGCAGTAGCCTACTGGGCTTTATGCATTTATTTATTCATTCAACATATAGACTGTGTGGCCATTTCAATTTTAAAGGTAGGGTTGGCGATTCCTTCCAGAAGCATTTTTTGTTACATTTCATCCCGATGGCTATGAATATATTAAATGCATAAAACAAATCTGCCATCCATGGCAGCAGCAGGGCTGAAAAAAGCCTGACCAATAGTTTTACTCATCCCAGGCAAAACCACTGGACGGCCTACCTGCCTGTCAAGCTACTTCCTACTTGCACACTCTCCATGCACTCAATGCATGAGCCAAGAGTCTCCCACAAAGCATTGCAGTTGCAGACAGACCTATTACTGCTCAGTTTTCTTAGCTAAAGCTAGTGAACTATGGCAGAGAAAGTCCCCAAAGCAGCTTTTGTTTGCAAATGGAGACTGCTGTTACAGGCCAGGCCTTCCCCTGATGATGCATGGCCTTATGGGTAATGTTGTTGTTACCAGAAGTTGCGACCTGCAGTGTGAGAGCGAGAAGACCGCCACACCGAACAGACTTTTACACGCAGCCATGGGTGGGAAAATACCACCAGTAGTTAGCTCTAAGTGTATAGTCAGGACCATAAAATTACTGTTTACAAGCTGTTTACTTACACAAAGATGCTACAGTTGAGCGCCAAACACTATTTTCTCTTATGCCACTTGGAATTCAATTGGTGGCCACGATGCCACTTTCTCTTATGCCACTTGGAATTCAATTCTCGGACACATGTGTCCGGCACTGTGTCAACCAAGTTATTTGTGCTGTTGCCACTGGCGTCTCCCATGCAAAATGGTGGCCACGATGCCAAGTACCATCTCACAGCTGTTTTGCCTCTTTGCCAAGGTCAAGAGGAAGGAGAGGTTAATACAGAGGTCACTCACAGAAAGATTATTGATCACCTTGAATATAGATGGTGTGAACTCATCATCAATCGATCGACTAGTGTCCACTCTGGTTAGAGGGTAAGCCCCGCCCACTGCCTGCAACTCCAATAGGAACCTAGAACGAGTCGCCCGTGGCAACACACCATCGAGCCATACTCCCAACTGTGATGAGTTAGCTGAGTGCAGGAGGTGAGGCAAAGACTGGCCACGCCCCTCAGACTCGAACACTGACAGCTGAAAGAAAAAAATTTAATGTTAGTCACTGGTCCTCTACTGATGATGTCATCAACACACAAACCAACTTTGTACACCTTCATGAAGTTTTTATGTTGTATAAACACAGTCACATCAGAGGTCATAACTCCCATATCACTATTACAACCTAAGGCTGTAGTTGTAATTTGAGCTCTGACCTGAAGGCAGAGTGATCCATTGGCGAAGGTTGCGGCAGCACCACAGAGCACAGCCACAGGACCCGACAGTTTGAGACGAGACCAGGTAAAGTCCTGCAGCTCATACGGAGGAAAAAAGTCTGAGTTCGGATCAGCAGTGTCATTAGCGTCATCGTACTCCAGCAGCTGAAATACAATTTGTCCCGCGGAGGAGGTGAAGAGCGGGAGAACAGACTGATGAGTTAAAGTACACAGACTGATGCCAGTGGGTTTAAGATGGATATACTGATGAGTTAAGGTGGATGTTTCTGACCCGGCTGAAGACGACAGCGGTACTATACAGGGTGCTGCTCTCTGGCTCGACCTTCAGGCTACCGCTGGTGTTGCGAGCCAAAAACAGGGGCCAATCCACCTGAGAGAGAAAACTATCATTTTCTGCCCTCCACGTTTACACATCAAGTGGTTAGAATATTAGGAACATCATCAGTGTAACACCATCACTGACTATGAGCTCAGTGACAAAACCTGGAACAGAATGAACAAGATCTGAACTTTGGAGGCTTCAGAAATGGGCTGAAGAACAGGTGGAATGCATTCGCTTTTACATGCGTACTTAACAAAATGGACAAAAATGCAACTGTGTCTGTTGGGGGATAAATCTCTCTGGGACTGGGACTCACTAAAGCTGAGTTTGAGCTGGCATTTATGGGTTTATTTTACAGAACTGGAAAAGCCCACAAAGACAGTGTACAAAGTGGGTTAAACTAAAGACAGACTGCCAGAGGCTCAAAATTAGAACAGCCAGATCTGGCACAATTTTATGAGATATATGAAGGGTGTAGCATTTTAGAGCGTGTCAGAGATTACGAAGGTATACGGAGATTTTTGTGTTGTTCTTTAGTTTTTGTTTTAATTAGGTACTAGATGTGTTAAATCAGAGCAGTGTTAAAATGAATAAAAACAAATGAAAAAAAGCAACTGGATTCACCATACAGTCACTGCCATTTGCACATTTTCCTAAGTGAGAGGATGAAACCTGATGATGGCTTTTCAACACTGCTACTAAACAGCAAATAAAGTCATGAGTTCATGACAAAATCAGCATAAGCATGGGTCAGTGACAGCAGCTGTGGTCGGCTGTAGTGATGCTCACAGTGAGTGATGACAGAAACAAGGCAAGGCTTTTATATCATTCATATTCAGATTCAGGCACAAAGCATCTACCTGTGTGTTTGTTACACTATACAACATGAAAACTCTTTAAGACATCACAATGAAACCAGACCTTAATATCAGAAGAAGAAGAGTTGGTGTGGATGAGAAGCAGCGTCGGCGCCCCCTGGCTACAGAACAGGAAGTGCAGTGTGTCGTTGTTTCCCACGGCTCTCACATGCAGCAGGTCTCCACCAGGAGGCACTGACGTAGACCCAGGGTTTAACTCTACAAACAACTGAGGGATAAACAATCATTGATCAAAGGCTGACAGTGATTGATCAGTAGCCTGCACCACAAAGTGAGTTCAAATTATTCTGGCCGTCGTGGGGTTACCCCGCTTCACTGAGTGCAACATTGGCCATCCTGGATAATCGGGACCACAAAGCCGGTCATCACCTGGCTCTGTTAAATCTGGGTTTTCTTATCAGGCTACAAGCGCATTCATGTGAAAGAGGCAGAGTTGTTAATTAGAAGCAACAGCAGCATGAGTGAAGTCAGCCACTGAAAATAAGAGACGGAGCAGTGATGCCTACAGGGAAGCTCATTTATAGCCAGAGCAGGAAGTGATGTTACGGCTGGTGAACTGTGAACAGTCACAAAACTAGAACAGAATAAGAAGCTATAGAAACTCTAGGAATGATGTTCAAATATTAAGGAAAGCTTAAGAAGACACAGCACATTAGTGCAGTATTATTTTAATGGTCTTATTCAGTGAGTATTGTTTTCTCCTTTGTCTGATGATGAAGAAGCTGTTGTCAAAAAACCCAGCGGTTTGTGCTGCCAGAGCGGAGAGGAGAGGACACCAGGGAGGAACTACACCTCAGGCCACATGTTCATTTATAATCAGGGGACATTTTAACAGAGTATGGCTTATTGATCTAATAAAAGACCATTATCACAGTGTCCTAATGTGATTCTGAGCTGCAGCGTCTTGAATTCAGTCCATAATCAAATGATCTTTGTGCGTTTAAAACACAGTGCTGATAATCATGAAGGCTAGACTCCCTCAGTTTGTTAGAAATCCAGAAAGCCTGAAACAGCACAACAATACGACTGCTCTGTAGAAATATCTATTTAATACTCATCATGTAGACTCTCACCCAGTCAGGACCCAGTACGAACAATCGCTGTGTTTCCAGTGATCCGATTGGTCGGTGCTCAGGCTGTTGACTGGTTAACATGCAGCATAAGGTACCCTGGCGATCGAGCCTAATTAAAAGTGAGCCAGCTCTGTGGTACTGGAAAACCTGAGCTGAGCCTAAAGTTAGCTGGATTAGCCACTACAAGCCCTACCTGATAGTTTGATTGATCAGCAGGTTGTTTACAGACAGAAAAGGAAGAAAATCTGATCACAAACTGCTTTTATCTTTGTGGAGTTCCATTAAAAATATATTAACCTCCCATTTGTCTTCTTAATCATTTTATTTATGCAAGAGCCAGGTCATATCAATATGTCTACATGGCACATTTGTTTCTTATTTTTCAGAACAAAACTAAGAAAAACACGTAAATTAAAGAACACTGTTAAACACTATACAGGAATGTAGGGAAAAAAAATAGGGAAATCAATTAGCGTTTCCTTGATAGCTTAACATAAATATGCAAGTTTTGGTAATTTCAAGTTAATTCAACTTACTGTAGGAAGTGTAGTTTTAAACTTTTAGACCACTTCTAACTTACAAACATGACTTGTTCTGACTTGAGGTATTTTAACTTGAAGTGATGAGTTGAATGAACAAACTGTTTCGAGTTCCCTCAACTCATTAAATGAAGTTTTAAGGAAACGAAACTAGCAGACTTCCCAGCATGCGTTACTGAAGAGTTAAAACTCTTCAAATGGAAAAAGATATATTCGTTGAAGAGCTGAATCATGGTGGGAACCTCCTCGATGTTCCTAACACATATTAAACTAAACCATGGTTGTTCATTTTTTAAATAAAAATATAAAAATGAGGCACACCATGATAAAGGTCAACTCACTCACTGGAAGCCAAAAAGCACGAGAACAAACCAGAATTAAATGAATACGTTCTTTTCAAGGAGGTGCAGACCATTTATCTGAAATCCAAAGCTGTGAACTGAACTCCTCACGAAATTTAGCTTAAAAAATACATTAAGTTGAACACAAACAGTGAAATAAACCAACATCCGAAACACTTTGACTTCCTTGTAATTCTGATTTGATTTTTCTCCCCTTCTCGGTGTTTATCTCGGTCTTTAGAAACATTTTCAGGCTGCAATTTGTTTTCTCACCTGTCTTTTATTAACTTCTCCCCCGATGTAAAAGCTTTGAGACAAACCCAAAACGAAAACCTGAAAAGTCAAAGTAAAAACCCTGCAGCTGCTCTTCTTCTCCGCAGCCATGTTTACTGTGAGCGAGTCACATGACCCCTTCATGTCAGTTGACCATACACCAGCCCCGCCCCCGTGCTCGATCTTTTTCTTTGAACTCCTCAATTTACAACAGGTGGATTAAAAATATAAAAGAGAATCACAAAATAACGTTTACAATTATTAAATAAACAACCTTGTATGAAAAACTATTAAGTCAACTCACAAAAATCGATATTTGGTGAATAACAAGTAAAAGAGGAACGTGTTACTTGCGTTTTACTGTCATTGTTTTAAGTATTTAGCTCCTTTACTTCAATACCAAAAAACTGTGTAAAATACTGCATTACAAGTCCTGCCTAAACCCAGAAACGGTACTGGAGTATCAACACTACTCTGTGACTGCTGTATCATTATTACACAGTTAGTTGTGTTAAAGAAGCATTTTAACGTTGCAGCTGAGAAGCTACTTTTACCACCTTTTGCTTTATTTATTGATTTAAAAACATACTCGTATTTACTAAGTAGTTTAATCAGTAATCAATTATATTTTATAAACTCATCAATTTTGTATTTTGTTCCTTTATCTAAAAAGTAACCAGGAACTAGTGAGATACTGTAAATGTAGTGCAGTAAAAACTACAATACTTTCCTCTGAACGTAAAGGAGTGCAAGTATGCAGTGGCAGCAATGAAATAGTCACAAGTAGAAGTACTCCCATCTTCATTTATACATTTGTATTATTTTTATCTTAGAATGGTTAGTTTTCAGCTAAAGATCTGCTCCACATTTTGTCTCAGTGTTGTCTGAGGAATTATATTAATTGTACTTATTCAGATTTGTCTAAAGAGGTCTGATGTTTCCTTTTGGTTTAATGATCAAAGATCAGTGAATAAAATCAAGTTTTCATCCTTGAGACTTGCCAACACACTAACACTTCAGTAAGAAAGTATTTATGCTAAATAATCTTTTATTAAATTTGTATTTAACCAATATTTATCCAGGGAAAATCCCACTGATGTTAATAAAGTCTTTTACAACGGTGCCCACTGCGGTCACAGGATCATTCAGACCCCACGTAGTAAAGAGTCAAACCACTCAAGGGGACAAGTCAGGCGCAGGGGAGTCTGACAGGTGTCAACCATATAAGGACATCAGAGACCAGCTTCTAACTTTAACTTTACTGACTGTTTTTATTAAGTTTCAGTGAGCCATCTGGTCCCCCAACACACACACACACACACAAACACACACACAGTGACACTGTTGCTGATGTGGATGAACATGGACCCATGTGGATCTACTCAGCTCCCTGTCCTCCCATCGGCTCCTCTTTGTTCTTCTTCTTGTGACCAGAGACAATGTCATCGATACGCAGCAACAAGATGGCCGTCTGAAAAACAGAGAGAGACAAGTTGAAGTGAATCCACATCTCACAGAGCCCTGCATCAGAGTGTGGTCCTGGTCCTGACCTCCACAGCGGTCTTGTAGGTCTGAGCTTTAACAGCAAGAGGCTCCCAGATGCCCAGAGATGACATGTCAGAGAGACAGCCAGTCTCTCCGTCTACACCCCAGCACACACTGTTATCCTGCGTGTGTTTGGCCTGCAGACACGGAAATGAAACATTAACACAACATCTGGATCAGTTCAATCCAGTCAAAACATCAGAATTACCACAAAAAACTTTGGATCAGTTCAACACAAACCACCTGATCAGTTCAGCATTAACACTGAAATCAAAGTTCTCACTCTCAAAGCTCTGTTACATGAGCACTCTGACCTAGCAAGTTAGAAAAGCCACTGATATTATGGTCTATTATTCTCTGTCTGATGGTTGTACATAGTAAAGTTATTGATGTTTATGAAGAAAATCACTGACAGTATAAATAAATTAGCTGACACTTATAAAGATACTGAGTTACAAGGTTAGTGCAGTATAAATAAATTTTCATACCCTCAGTGAGGTGAGTACTCGTATGGTGGAGGCTCCACAGTTCTGGATCAGGGTTCGGGGGATGACCTCCAGAGCCTGGGCCACAGCACGGTACGGCCACTGTTCGATGCCGGTCAGAGCACGGGAACGCTCCATCAAACACTTTGACACTGCCATCTCCACGGCGCCACCACCCGGCAAGAGGAAGGGGTCCATCAGCACATTACGACACACCTGCATGGCATCCTGCAGGTTCCTCTCCACCTCCTACAGACCAGAACCAGGTTTACATTTTGCCCCTTCATTTGTTAAGGTGAAAAATTGTGAAAACAAAGCTTTTAAAATAACGTGGTTTCTCTTACAGCCAGGATCTCCTTGCTGGCCCCTCTTAGCAGGATGGTGCAGGCTTTAGGGTCTTTACATTCGGTGACAAAGGTGAAATACTCATCACCGATCTTCTTCACCTCAAACAGCCCTGCCTGTGTACCAACGTCTTCCTCTCGCAGCTCATCAGTCCGACTGACAATACGAGCCCCGCACGCCCTGAAGGACACAGAGATCACTATCTGAACCAAGCCTAAAGTGACACTATTCGAGAAACCATACGTACAGTTATGGAAATACTACGAAGTACGAAATGTTCAATCATGCCGGCCATACTGTCCAACTATGTGTCCAACTAACTGGTATAGCAGTGAGAGACATGGCCTTTTGAGCCTGGCAGGCAAATGTGATTCAGTCAGTTAAACATGTTTGTCAAGTCAGTCTTCGCACTGTAGGAACAACTGGCAAGAAAATATAATACACAAAGTACACATTTTTATTGATACTTAAAACTGGGGAGTTTAATCAGAAAACAGTTTTCTCTATTGCTACATTCTCCCCAAACCAACCCCATCAACTCCATTATCACTGACAACAGAGAAACACTGCTCTGTGCAGTATGAGAAGCCAGTGGAGCAGTGACTCCTCCTTCAGACTCTGTGCACAGCGACACGGTTCTCAGCCTGTGGAGCCGTTTGTTGGAAACAGACGGCCTCCCGTGTTCTCTGAGGAGGAAACCTGCCCCTCAGTGCAGCGGTGTGTCTCACTGGGGGGGTTTAACAGCTGGTGGACAACAGTAGAGGTCTACGGCACAGAGCAATGAGCTGGACCAGGGTCTGGACTCACACATGACAGTGAGGACACCACGTTCACTGGTGCAGCTGGTCTCTGGACGGGGGGTGTTGGGGAATAAACGCACACAGAATCAGCAGCTGCATCCTTTAAACCCTTGAGTATGTCACTGAGTGCAGACACTCAATGGCCTCTGGAAGGTATCAGTCTGCTAAAAAAAACGCTCAGGCGTGACGTAGCTCAGTGATGCAGAACTACGTCACGCCTGCACCGTGTCAAACAAGCAGCGATTGTTTAAAGGGTAAATACACCTAAAAATCAGAGAAGTGCCAGAGTTACTGGGAAAGAACAGTCAGGTCAGTGTACCTGGCAATGCGGTTGTTGTCAGTTTTCCTCACACGGCGGATAGCGGTGATGTTGGCCTTCACCAGGTAGTGCTGAGCCAGATCTGAGACAGAACACAGGAGTGTAGGAGCTGGATTTCTACAAACCTTAGCAACAAATGACACTGAAGAAGTGACGTTCACATGCAGACACACTTGACACCCAGGTGTGCCTCAGTAACGGTGTGTCCATGAGGCACTGGATCTGCAGTGGTCTCCTGAGTCAGGAGCATCTAAAGTGGCATTCACTTTGTGTTACATTTGTTTGATTGGGTTGGTCTTTCCAAGTTTCAACATGGGACTGAATTAGTTTCCATCTTGGTTTGTTAACGTAAAAACAACATGAGTGATCCAGAGTGCAGCATGAACCCTGAGCTACGCAACAAATATGACAGTATCATCAAGTCCTAGCCTGTCTCAGGTAAAACACGGCTGTACATGAACAGGTGACAGACAAGTGAGGTGTGCAAGGTACCAGAGATGCCCTTTTCAGTGAAGATCAGGTCGGGCTTGAGGCGGATGATGTCCTCACAGATCTGCTGTATGTACTCTTCCTCCATCTGCAGGATCCTGGCAAAGTCCTCCTCCTTAGAGATCTCTATGTCCGTCTGAGCACACATACAGTAACACAATCAAGACACAAAATGTTAACATATTACTAGGGCTGCACGAGTCATAGTTTTTTTGGTCACGATTCAGACCCTATACAATCTCAGTCTCAGATGCTGCCAAGTTTATGTTAGCAAGGAGATGTCTTGCACCAAAGAAAGCACTCCCTTTTCCTTGCTGTGTTAACCAGTAACAGAAATGCGTTACATCACATGATGAGCTACAGACTGTAAAAGAGGACAGATTCAAAAACAAACCCCGTGTGTTTGACTAACGATATGAGAATTTCAAGGTATTATAACTGTGGCAGAAAATACAGTTTCACAGTATTACACAGTTACTAGTACTATTATCAGCTACAATGACCCTCGAAAGAAAGAAAACAAAAGGGTCTTTTATTTTATTGCAAGTGACTGGAAAAGTAGACTGAGCTGGACTGTAGCAATAGATTGACCCTGAAGAATAAATACAATTATAAACATGTTGTATAACTAAAGTATATAAGTTTGCATGTTGGCACCAGTAGTACAGGAAGTATTTACATCCTTAAGTAAAAGTACTACTATCAGAATTGCTAAGGGCCGTCCAGTCCCTGTACGACAAGAGCAGGAGCTTGGTTCGCATCGCCGGCAGTAAGTCAGACTTGTTTCCAGTGCATGTTGGACTCCGGCAGGGCTGCCCTTTGTCACCGGTTCTGTTCATTATTTTTATAGGCAGAATTTCTAGGTGCAGCCAGGGGCCGGAGGGAGTCCGGTTTGGGGACCACAGGATCTCGTCTCTGCTTTTTGCAGATGACGTTGTCCTGTTGGCTCCTTCAAGCCAGGACCTCCACCGTGCACTGGGGCGGTTTGCAGCAAAGTGTGAAGCGACTGGGATGAGAATCAGCACCTCCAAGTCCGAGGCCATGGTTCTCAGTTGGAAAAGGGTGGCGTGTTCCCTTCAGGATGGTGGAGAGCTCCTGCCTCAAGTGGAGGAGTTCAAGTATCTTGGGGTCTTGTTCACGAGTGAGGGAAGGATGGAACGGGAGATTGACAGGCGGATCGGTGCAGCTTCTGCAGTAATGCGGTCGATGTACCGGTCCGTCGTGGTGAAGAAGGAGCTGAGCTGTAAGGCGAAGCTCTCGATTTACTGGTCAATCTACGTTCCGACTCTCACCTATGGTCATGAACTTTGGGTCATGACCGAAAGGGCAAGATCCCAGATACAGGCGGCCGAAATGAGCTTTCTCCGCAGGGCGGCCGGGCGCACCCTTAGAGATAGGGTGAGGAGCTCGGTCACCC